AACGAAAATAGAATCCCAACACGTTCAACAACCACTCGAAGTTCCTCATCCTGTCTAGGAAAGCACTGTCGAAGACGATCGCCTGTCGATTACAGCAACACATGCAGAAGAGAACGATATTTTGAGCAGCAACACAGACGGTCCGGATGAGACCTCATTAGCTGGCTTTGTGCCACCATTAGATGACTTTATTTCACCGGTAGTCGACGTACAGTCGAAAAATACTCATGGAAATCTCCTGGACAAACAACGTAGACACTGGCGAAACTCCGACTAGTGTCAAGTCAACAACGGGATTTTTCGATCCCGAACAAACAACAACACGTCGCTGGGTTCCCTCAGCTGCCTTTGGTACATTTCTCGAGAAAAACTTTCGACGGTGGCTCAATACAGAGCAAGTAAATGAGATTATTGGGGAATATTCTCCCCCCAGAAACGGATGCTTGTGTAGCTCCCTTGCTAGATAAAAGTATTTTAACCTATATCCCATCTAGCTGAAAGAAATTTATCGAACAACGGCGGGACAAAGATTTAGCTCTCATTCAACGAGCTACTTTAAATGCCGCGGCACCTTTTTGTTGTTTAAACGATCGTCTTGAATCGAACGAAAATATTTCAAACGAAGATTTACAACAACTTTTCTGTTTGCTGGGTTCAGCAAACCATATCACTACGACCCTCCGTCGTAAGAAAATTTTGGCAGCTATAAATCCATTTAAAGTTCAACTAGCCGAACAAGAATTCCCAAAGGCGGGAAAAATGCTTTTTGGCGAGGATTTAACCACTCTGGCGGCTAAACATTCCGAGCTTACTCGGAACCTTAGTAAAAATTTGCAAAAACCTGGTTATAGCAAAATGCAGTCTAATACATCGGAAAATTTTCCTCGTACCAAGTACAATACACAACAAGCTCGGGGCAAATCTAATCGGCCCTTTTTCGCGCAATTCCGCACCAAACAATCAACAACGCTTCCCGCCGGAAGCCAACCAAGTGCAAAGTTTTCGCCCAAGGCGGAACCAGCCAGACAGGCCCTGGTTCCGCCAATAATAAACTGAAAACCAGCCGCTCGTCTAAAACATTTTCTACAACAATGGCGAAACCTAACTCAAGATTCAACAATTTTAAATATAATTCGAGGTTATCGCATCGAGTTTCACACTCGACCTTGGCAAAGGGTCATTCCCACAACATCAACCTCGCGCGAAAATATCCCTGTATTGGGAAACGAAATTTCAAAGCTTCTTTCAAAGGGGGCAATTCTTCCAGTAAAATTTTCCAAAATGGGCTTTTACAGCTGCCTTTTCCTTGTACCAAAGAAAGGAGGCGACTTACGCCCAGTTATAGATTTAAACAATGTAAATCAATTTATCTCAAACGAACATTTTCGGATGGAAAACATTCTGTGTCTCAAACAACTACTGAATCCAAACGACTTTATGGTCAAACTGGACCTCAAGGACGCTTACCGTTAAGTGGGCATTCACGAGGACTCTCAACAATACCTTCGGTTTATATGGAAGGGCCAAACATACCAGTTTCAAGCCCTGCCATTCGGGTTGTGCACGGCCCCAAGAATATTCACGAAACTTCTCAAACCTGTCCTAGTGTTCCTTCGTACGCAGAACATTCGGCTCCTCATTGATCTGGACGATATTCTAATTGTAGGTTCAAATATAACAGCCTTGAACAAACACACGCAACTGGTTTTAGAGTAGCCTGGGCTTTATAATAAATTTAGAGAAGTCCGTACTAAACCCCTCTCAAGTGATGGAATTTTTGGGTCTACTAGTCGATTCCAGCTCAATAAAATTCTACCTGCCGCCCCCCAAAGTGACGAAAACAACCCAACTATGCTATTCACTACTTCAAAAAAAACCGGTTTCACTGCGCCGACTGGCGCAATTGCTGTGCTTTCTCGAATCAACACGCCCTGCCAAATGGTTGGCGCCACTTCATTTCAGACCCCCTCAGAACCGTCTGATACAACAAGTAACATTGAACAAAGGCCTCGTATTCCTGGAACCCCTAGCACAAAGGGAACTGCAATGGTGGATTTCCAACATCCAGCAGGTCAACAGCAGTCTAATCCATCCTCCCACGTACGAACTGACGATAACGTCGGATGCGTCGAAATTGGGGGGGGGGCACATGCGGCCACCTCATAGCCTAGGGCAGTTGGTCCGCGCAGGAGCGTTTAATGCACATCAACATATTAGAACTCAAAGCAGCCTTTCTGACAGTCCAGACATTCCTGAAACACAGGACAAACACGTCAATAAAGTTAAAGCTCGACAATACAACCGCAGTCGCGTACATAAACAACAAAGGGGGGACACGTTCCCCAAACTTAATAACGTTGTCACTGGAGCTGTGGAACTGGTGTGTCAACCGAAATATTTACATACAGGAAGAACACTTGCCAGGAGTAGCGAATTACCTAGCGGACAGAGAATCGAGAACGTGTGTCGATTCGAACGACTGGAGAATTCACCCGAACCTCATCAAGAAGTTCCTTCAGGACAGAGACATCGACCTCTTTGCAACCAGACTGACACACCAGCTCCCACGTTATGCGAGTCGGCATCCCGACCCACACGCATTCGCAACCGATGCATTTACTCTAAATTGGGGCATTTTGAAAGGCTACGCCTTCCCCTTCAACCTCGTACCGCGAACACTAATCAAGGTACAACAGGACAATGCCACCATCGTCCTGGTGGCCCCAATATGGCAGGGGCAGACTTGGTGGCCCCTTCTTCTTCAACTGGCAAAACGATCTCCAGTGATCCTGCTGTCGATTCCAGAAACACTAGAGAATCCTGCCAACCCAACAACGATCCATCCAATGTTTCCACGCCTGCATCTAGCCGTTTGGCTTGTTTCCAACGTTCCTGTGAAACAGGAGACCTTCCGAAACACGTTACCAGACTTCTCTCAGCCGCTACTCGTAAATCGACTAACAAGACTTACGACTCCGTATGGCGAAAATGGTGTAGCTGGTGTGATCAACGGCAAATTGATCCAATTTCAGCAGGTTTGAACAACATTTTAACGTTCCTCGGAGAACAATTTGAGAACAATTTGCAATATCGTACACTCAATGTGTTCCGATCAGCTATCTCGTCTACACATCGTTGGGTTGACGGGAAACCTGTTGGTCAACACTCTCTGGTGATTCGTCTTCTGAAAGGAATCGCTAATGAACGGCCACCTCAACCTCGTTACTCTACAACATGGGATGTCTCTAAAGTAACTGTATATTTATCTTCTCTCGGACACAACAATATGTTGTCTCTCAAACTACTTTCCAAGAAACTTGCGATGCTTTTGGCTTTCGGTCCTCAGTCCTAGTGGATCTTGACATTGGTCGTTTAAAGAAACAACCAGATGGTTTCACGTTTACACTCACGAAACCGCACAAAACAGGTGACCCAATATCTGAGGCTTCAGTGTGTTTTCCAATTTTCCCTGAAGATACATCTCTTTGCCCAATGGATTGTCTTAATGTTTACCTCAACCTAACAAGCGGTTTTCGCACATCACCTGACCATGGGAAACTTTTCTTGTCATTCCAACGACCTCACAACCCAGTGTCTAGATGCACCATTGCTAGATGGTTATGTGACGTCATACAGGAAGCTGGTATTGATTCTTCAATTTTTAAAGCACATTCCATGAGCAGTGTCCACTTCCGCAGCTGCGAAAAACAATTTACCTCTTGGTGACATTTTTGAAAATGGGAGATTGGTCCTCTCCTTCCACCTTCCAGCGGTTTTATTAAAAATCTGTTGTTGATGTTTCTTATGCACAAACAGTATTGATCAATAGTGCTAGATAAAATTATGTTATTACAAACTCGGTTTTATTGTTATCACATATATTTACAGGATTTTTATGTCGAAATATATGAGTTTAGTACCGCGCTTAGCGTTGAAATCTACCATTTGTTTTCCCATATATTTCGACCGGAGTTTGCGAAATATAATTCCAATTACACAAGGGCCTATGAGGCCTGCATGTGTAATTAAGGTTATATGAGTAAACGAAGGGAGAAATATATGGGTTCCCACCCTTTCGTACCTTACTGGGTACAAAATCCCTCCCTGGTATTCACTAGGAGGCTTTACACGTTGAAAATAGCCGACGGAGCACACATGGCCGGCGTATTTATACGTAAGGAGGATCACGTGATCTTGGCTTTTTTCTTCTGTTCACTTCCGTTACTGTACCGGAAGCGTTAAATTGTGAGCTAATGCACAGGAAAGGCAAGCCTTACCATTTGTTTTCCCATATATTTCTCCCTTTGTTTGCTCATATAACCTTAATTACACATGCAGGCCTCATAGGCCCTTGTGTAATTGGAATTTTGTGCAACAATCAACTTGAGAATTTCACTTTTTTTACAATATAGTACTTTTAATTAATAGGAAAATTACTATTAAAATAAGTTTTTTACGAGTTTTATAGGAAAATGTTTGTTAGAGTCCATAGCCATTATTGTTAAATAAATAAGTGTTTATAGAAAAAGTGACTGTATAGGATAATGAATACATAGTTTGGACTCGACGAAAGTACAATATAACTCATTATCTATGTTATTGTCTAGGTTTATGCAAAAATGTGTTCCTTATATTCGTCACGTGAGTATTGTATTTTCGCCCAAAAGACCAATAACAATGTTTTAGTTTAGTTATCCATCCATAATCAACAAAAATATATTGGTCCACTACCATCGTCCACTACCATTTCCGCTACCATTATAATTTGATTGGTATCAGATGCATTTACTCCTAAGCGAAAAGTTCTGGTAGCGGTAGTAAATCTGAACCTTGCTAATACGCACGTGACGAACAAGGACTTCATTTTTGCATAAACCTGGACCAAGATAATTAATGACCTTCATAGAGTTTCCGAACTAAGTATTCTAGTAACTATTGTTTCAGTAAAATGTATAATTTTTATGATGTTTATATCATTCATATATAGATTAACTTACCGCTCAGACAACTGTCGCTCCAAGGGACTCAAACTGGCCAGAATTTCTGAGCTGGCTGATTGACTCCAGACAGGTCTTCCTTTGTATTCCTGCAAAAGCAGCTTGGATGCTTCGCCTCTTATTGAGCATTAACACCCTCGCCAGCAATAACCTTGCCAGCAAGGTCCATCTTTTCTTTGTTGGACTTTTACGCTTTAGATTATCGGATTCCTCGCCAATTCTTCTATCCACAAAGGATCTAAGGTTGGCAATATCTTCTGCCAGGGGTGGCACGTTAACTTTATTGAACCTCCATTCATGTAGGGTGGCTAATGAATGGTGGGACACCCGATATTCCCATTCTGATTCCATTAATGTCTTGAAATTCTTTGCGTCTTTTCTTATTGACTCGTCTTTTATACGCAACCCATGTGCAACCGTACATGTAGCGCATTTCGACAAGGAGTACCCCAACTTCAACGCAAGTGATGGTATGCCAACTTCCAATTGACCTTCTTCACCATCAATGAGGCTTTTCTTACACCTTTGACAATCGTGTCAAATTTTTCAGGCTTCATGTAGTCGTACAACTGAACCTCCTTGTTTTCTTCAATTTTCATGAGGCATTCTACTAATCAAGCCAGCTCTCTCATTTTCTGTGATACATCGCCACTTTTAAGTCCACACTTCTGGATAAGCAAACCTCCCAAATCCTTTATTAGTTTGTCTTTCTTGACAATGTCCGAAATAGAATCGTATTTCATCGCAGAAATGATTTTATTCAACCTCTCGTTGTTGCTCCCAGTAATTGCCGACGCTATCAACGATTTTGCCTTTCGTTGAACCTGCTGTTTCTTGCCGCTGTGCTCGGCAAGGGTCTTTGATTTGAATTCGCACGCTAATTGGTGCTTCCACAGATCTCGTCTGCGCATGAAACCCAGACAAAACTCGCAAGGAAGGAAGTCCTCAGCATTGCAACACACGTCTTGTCCAGGTCGTCTCACTACCACCAACTCACCCTCGCCAATTTCCAGCGTATTCATATTGTGGTGATAATCCCCCTTGAGCCGTAGCCTTGTCAATTCCTTTTTTCTTTCTTTTGATTTCTTGCGAAATGGCAAGGCCACAGCTACCTCTTTCTCTTCTTTATGTTTCGTGGTTATGTGCCTTGCAATTTTCGACGATAGCTCACCACAGAAAAGACAAGCGTGCCTTCGGTCGTACACCGTCACGTTTTTGTCCGTCCTTTTGGCGCAGTTGACGTGGGCTAAAAAAAGATTGATTGAGAATTGAATATCACAAATACGACAACACCTCACAAGGAAAAGTCTCGAAAGTCGAAAATAGACACAAAATAAATATACTTGTCACGTGACCAAATATATTTGCAACATGAGGAAGGAAACCAGACATATTAGAATATATTTTGCCACATTCAGAATATATTTTGCCACATTCAGAGTATATTTTGCCACATGGGGAAGGAAACCAAGCATATTAGAAACCAGATTTTTGTAATTAAAGCTCAACGGTCAATAATTATTAAAAATTGCCTACTAAAATATGGGTGAAAAAGTGTGCGGAAACTTCTAATAGTTACGGCCCTGTTACACGGTGCAATTTTTCATGCAACTTGTCTCGCAATGGCGTTGCGAGACAAGTTGCACGAGTCATTGCACTGTTTAACATGCCTTGCAATGGTCAAAATCGTTGCGAGACAAGTTGCATGAAGCATTGCAGAGAGTAGAAGTCGGTTCTACTTTTGGCAACGATTGCACTAATTATTTTTAGCATTGCAGCGTGTAACATGGCTTCGTGCAACTTGTCTCGCAATGTTTAATGCTTGGAGAGTTCCTATTGGCTCTCCCCAGTACACGCTTTACTTTAATTAAAATTTGGCGCCAAATTGCACCTCTCCCTATTCTCTTCGCATGCCTCTGTCCCGTATCGTTGCGAGTTGCATGAATATCATTGCAGCATGTAACACCTCTTGCAATGCATTATAAAAATCTTTTTTTAAACATTGCGAGACAAGTTGCATGAAAAATTGCACCGTGTAACAGGGCCTTTAACCTGCACCGTAGCACGAGAACGAACGAATATGCAGGTATGCAAATGTGTTTTGGTCAAAAGCTGAAATCTGATTGGATTGCATAATTAATCTCGTACGCATCGGACGAGTAAAGACGAGAGCGAACGAATATGTAATTAATAAACAATAGTTAATTTGCATGATCATGAGTCATGACATTTTATTACAAATTGAAAAGCACAAAGAGAATAAAAATATAAAGTTAAGTCAAGACGTACATGTAGTTATTTGTACTGAAAAATTGACGCCATTGCAATAATAGTTAATACGCATATAGCTTTGTTAAGAACTAAAAACTGAAGCATGGCTCCGAGCCGAGTTATAGACGCATTAATTAATAAATGAACAATATGGACGAAATGGTCCAGTTTAGGATATTGTTATAAATGACATCGCGCGAGATGAACGTTTTATAAACATGCCCGACAACGTGCAGGAGCTGTATTAATTAGGGCTAATACTATGTATATAATACAGCTCTTTCAGCTCTTGCTGGTAAGAGAAGCAGGTCGCGTAGAACGTACGAAAAAAGCTGCCCAATGACAATGACAATCACATTGATCGACTTGCATGGGCCCATGCATTAATTACTGGCAAATATATCACGAAGAAAGCGTTAAGACATTATTTAGCTGCATATAATAAAACTGATAAAACTGAGATTTAGGACCTCCATTCCGTTGTACATGTCCATATGCCATATATAAAAGTTTCGTGTATCATTGAACAATAATCAATATACTGTATATTGTCATTATTGTGTGATACAAGCTGAAAATTAGCTAGCTTGTTAATTTATTTTCTAAACTCAAGTAACGACATGCGTAAATTCAAAATGAACTACCGTATTTACTCGTTTGAGCGCCGCCCCCGATTGAGCGCCGCCCCCAAATGAGCGCTGCATTTGAGATCAAATTTTTTAAAGAGCGCCGCCCCCGAATGAGTGCCGCACTAAACAGAGTAAAAACTTTCCGCCCGTCAAAATGGGGACATTTAGTGACAAAGACATTTAAAACTTCTTTATTTTATTGTTAAAAGTTCTTCTTATAATTCACAAATAAAAGTTTTTTAAAGAGCGCCCGCCCCCAATTGAGCGCCGCCCCCGAATGAGCGCCGCATCCGAAGCTCTGAAAATGTAAAGAGCACCGCGGCGCTCAAACGAGTAAATACGGTATTTGCCAAGAGGTTTTAACAACACCTATCAACTGTGAGTTTTCCGTGCACTACCCCCAAACCGTTAAGTTATTTGAAAAGATTGATCGAATATTTGCCATGAATACATCTACAGTATAATATTTGCTTAGTGTTGTTGCCGTTGCAGCTAGGGGAAAACGAAGTCTACTTGAATATTTTAGAGAATATGGAAGAGTGTTTTGAATCGGAAATTAATATATTTGGCGCAGAATAGTTTACAAAGCTGAACTTATACAAGTTATAGGCATGTTTCAAACGTTGGAACACGGGAAACGCGACGATTGCACTAGGCCTGATTTGTTATTCTGGAATTTTCACAGGCTGTCGCATTATGGAATGCCGATTGTTTCAATAATACTTCTGTCGCAAATATAATACTTCTTTGCAATTATAATACTTCGTGTCACATTTATACAACTTATCATTACTAATATAAAACTTCCATGTATAAATATAATACTTCATTGCCAATATAAAACTTCATTGTAAATATAATACTTCATTGTATTAAAATATAATACTTGATCGCAAATATAATACTGCTTTGCAATTATAATACTTCGTGTCACATTTATACAACTTATCATTACTAATATAAAACTTCCATGTATAAATATAATACTTCATTGCCAATATAAAACTTCATTGTAAATATAATACTTCATTGTATTAAAATATAATACTTGATCGCAAATATAATACTGCTTTGCAATTATAATACTTCGTGTCACATTTATACAACTTATCATTACTAATATAAAACTTCCATGTGTAAATATAATACTTCATTGCAAAATTAATATAAAACTTCATTGTAAATATAATACTTCTTTGCAATGATCACAGTGCAATGATCAACTTCCATGTCACATTTATAACTTGTCATCACTAATATAAACTTCATTATAAATATAAAACTTTATCACAAACATTGATACGTCACACATTTTGAAACTTTGCAATGTTTGCATGTTGCCAGCACTGTGCCTGCAAATCAGGGCTCAATCTATGGGTTCAAGTTACCTGTTCGTGGGTGTGCGTATTGCGCTTAGTATTGCGCAATATATTTGGCGGGAAATCACAAATAGCGAATTTCAAAATGGCGGTCAATGTTCGCTTTAACTTCCAATGACCATTGTTATGTCAGTTTTTTAAGGACATTCGGCAATATGACGGAAGAAATAGACGTGCAACGTCTTCGAGATGATTTCCTCGAGTTTCTTGCGGAACTAATGGAGCAATTTGAGGAGCTGCAATCGCTGCTGTTAACCGACAATCTGGAAATTGCCGATCGCTTGTTGAACACTGCACAAAGATGCTCTTCGGGGATTTTGTTATTTATCAGCGTTTTTGAATCCCGTAATTGGGATGTATGTGTCGATATTCTTGCTTTGCTTCACTGATTGCTGGAAATTTATGACAATTTAGTTATAAGGTACAGCGAGCGTTTGAGGTGGATAGAGGAACGTGAACAAGATAACAGCTTCCACTGCGGACAGGAGCGAACGGGTACGCCAGGTAGACCTCGTTTTGTTGTGTCAAAACCACAGATTGAAGGTTTGCAAGAGCTAGGCTTTTCATGGTCTAAAATAGCAAGAATGATTGGAATATCTAGAATCACATTATACAGACGCCGATTAGCATTGGGGATTGGAAATGAAGTAGAGTTTAATCAATTGGAAGATCATGAGGTTGACGAACTTGTTGCTTCAATTATTCAGTTGTCCCCTAATTCTGGGGAGGTAATGGTTCGAGGAGCACTTCGTGCTAGAGGGGTTAAGATACAGAGATGGAGAATTCGAGAGTCACTTATGAGGGTCGATCCTGTACGAAGAAGGCGCAGGCAAAGGTTGCGGATTGAAAGGAGAGTCTACAGAGTACCTGGACCTAACAGTTTATGGTAAGTTATTAAATTAATCTATGAAATTATAACTGTTGTTGTCAGGCACGGATTTTCTGGGAGGTTGCACCCCCCAGAAATGCTTTGCACCCCCTTCAAATTCATTTGGCACTGCCCCAAAAAAGTTTTTGCACCCCCTCAAATTATACATATTTTGATTTGATATTTTCCTATTTGGTTATTCTTATTACTAAATTTATAAAATTACAAATATTATCGTCTCAGATACCGCCATGCAGGCCTAGAAAACAAGTTTTGTTAAACATTTTCCTTGGCCTTTCTGGACGTTGCCACCAGGCCCCGGCCAAAGCAAGCAGCAGCAACCCCCAGATATTTATCCACCTCCCCCCCTCCCGAACGAAAATATGAAAATCCGTCTCTGGTTGTTGTACTGACCTAATTAAAAATGGTAGCATGGATTATACATTGGTAGAGTGGATTAAATTGTTACTGCTGAAAATTTTCTGGATATATTAAAGGAGTAATCAGATGTCAAAATTTTCTAACTGTTAAACCATTTTAGGGCCTGTTTATATGATCCCACTTACATAGACATCTCACGTATCGGAATGAAAATTTCTGTGACTGTGTGTTCATATGGAGTTTTTCAATGGGCTATTCCATATAATATATGTACACCCCCCCCCCCATGTTGAGCATCCCTGGAATTCTTCAGGAGTAAAGGGTTTTGAGTTTGAAATTTTTCAGGGGTAAAGGGTTTTCAGATTGGAATTATTCAGGAGTAAAAGGTTTTGAGCTTGGAATTCTTCAGGAGTATAATGTATCCTTGACAGGGGGGGTATGGATATTAGATGGAATAGTCCAATGTAGTTATATAATTAGCACTTGCAAAACGTGTACATTCCAGCCATGCAACACAAATATTTAGCGATATTGGTGTTTTCCTTCATTTAATTGCAAGAAAAAGCATACCCTGGTTCCAGAGGCTCTTAAATAACAGCGAGACAAAGTAAAGGGGAAGCAAAATAAATACAAGGTGAAAGAGCCAATGGTCAAATCGATTGTGAATCTCACTTCCATACTTGATTTAATAGGTTCAGAATCTGAACATCGCATGTGATTGGCTGTTTGTAAACCATATCAAACCAGTATGAAATCATTGCTACATTTACCAGGCTATAATTAGTTAAATTTGGACCTTTTGAATTTCTGGGAAACTTATAATTATAACCCCCCTTTGAATCTCAAGAAAACATAAGCCCTCACATGCTTTATAATCCACCCCTCAATTTTTTGGGGTCCAAACTTTTGAGTTCACCCTTCCCCCAGACATATCAGTTGGCATGTCCCGAGTAAATGTAGTAGTTAATTAATATAGTTTTCATTTGCAAACTGAATTTTCATGGATTTTTTAGTTAAAATGTATTACTAGGCATCTTGATGGGCATCATAAACTTGTTAGATGGAGAATAGTCATACATGGTGCCATCGATGGGTATTCGCGTTGCATTACATACTTAAAATGTGCTACAAATAACGAAGCAGCAACTGTTTTGACATTTTTTCAATATGCTGTGCAAAGATTTTCAGTACCCATTCGAATACGTTGTGATCATGGCACTGAAAATATCCATGTGGCGAGGTGGATGCTGGACAGATATGGAACAGCTTCCAATCCTGTTCTAACCGGCCTTTCGGTACATAATCAGCGAATTGAGAGGCTTTGGCGTGATGTTGGGGATGCTTTCGTCCGTTACTACAAAAGCCTTTTTTACTTTATGGAAGAGAATCACATTTTAGATCCATTAAACGAAATTCATTTGTATGCTTTGCATTACATATATCTACCCAGAATTAGTCGTTCTATAGAGGAATTTACCCTAGCCTGGAATAACCATCCAGTAAGAACAGAAAATTGCAGATCCCCTATTCAAATATGGGTCGATGGGTTTTACCAGCATGCCTCTTCATGTCAGCGAGCTGTTCAAACGGCTTTAAATCAAAATGATATTGACTTTGAACAATATGGAATCGATGACGACGGTCCGCTACCCGAGCTTCAAACAAACAATCATATGTGGCCATTCCACGCTCGACAGTACAACTAGCTGACGAGGAGCGTACTATTTTGACATTGACCATAGATCCTTTGGTACAAGATAATAACCATGGTATCAACTCATTCTTGCAAGTAGTAGAAATGGTTACTCACTTCGTTACATAATGTGGTTGTTGTTCTTACAAAAGAACGCACTTTAAAACAAATCAGCTAACAGTTCTTTCAGCCTGCTTGAGGCTGCTTTCAGGAAAGTGATTATATAAAATTACTAGAACGTTCAAAAGCATCATAAAAACGTATTTTTTTCATCCCCCTTGCACTTCTGTTCACCCACCCATAAATACATCACTGTCGTGACTCGTCTTTACTACTATTATGGCCACTATTGACTATTGTTTTACGTATAGTCATTTTTCAAATTGTTTGAAACTGAAAACCACTATAAAGCTATAACTGTAATAAGCATTTATTTATGATAAAATTACAGAAGGTAAAACAATAGCAATTGTTCATTAAAAATGATATTGGGTCAAACACAACAACCAGGCATAATTTTCGTCTTTTTGAATTTATTAGATTCTAAAGTCACTGACTGTGATGAACAGGTCGGGATTAGAAATAAAACAGATTGGACCGCCCTTCCAAACAATATAACAAAACGATATCCTTTTTAGGGGAACAACAATACATGCAATCGTACCTGCTGGTACTTCACACTCGGAAATATAGAAAAATTCCAATAAAACGAATATTATGCCTGAAAATACTTTTATGACTCTTTTTCTTTAACAAAAAAAAATGGTCGAAGCGAAACTAGCAAAATCAACAACGGTATATAAATGTGAAAGCGGTATGGCTATGAAAGCTGTCTCATACATGTCCAAATCCTTGGCAATCTTTTAAAGCAGACAACCAAGCAAATGTAATATCTTCTGATGTTTGATAGTGTACCGGCAATCGGACGTATAAGAAACAGGTTGAGGCTGTTGGACGACATTTGCATCCATCTTGGCAACCATGGAGGAAATGAACATCAATTTTCTTGGAGAACTCCAAGCGAGGAATTTTTTTCACTCCAGTGATGAACTTCAGCAAATGCGCTATAGTTGAATCACAGTCCGGTATTGCTACAGGATGCAAAAGAAATAGATGTTTTTAAAAAATAAAGTTGTACAGTACTTTTTGGGGGGAAACTTTACGTTACATTCAATTTAGAAACCTGATCATGTTATGAGTTATAGAGGACAAGGCTTGACATGGTCAGCAACAATCGGCTAAGTTTCAATACATTTCATTGTCCCTAACCTTGGAAAAAAAGTTCCTGAATAAAGTCACACATTGCTTTGAACGTGTTAATTTCCTGTTCTTTGATTTGTGTACTTTCGCTGTACTTTGGCAACAAAATGTCCAATAACTGATCACTTGTAATTAAACTGTTGCCAATTGGAGTAAAGATAGGCTTCATTTGAGTTTGGTTCTTCCTAGCAAGATCCAGTACCCCAAGTGTTTGTAACCCTTTGCATAACTGGTCGAGCATTGGAATTTTCGGTACCAGGTAAGATTTAATGCATAGTGATCTACAGGAAACAAATATACAGAACAAAAATACATACACGTCGATCTATTTTACAATGTAAGTAGAGATAAATAATGAGAAATAACAAGCACGACGATCACCTCTCATATACTAATTTATGTATGTCCGGCTGCGGTTGTGTTAGTCTACAGGGTCGGTTTCAGAGCATACACTTGGCTTTTCTCTCTGTTTGTAGGTTATAGGTTCTGCCCATAATCCATATTTTTTATAAGAATAAAAAGCGAAATTTGAGATCAAATTACTGTAAGCATTTTTGACTACTAAAATGTGCGTACAAAGCTTCCTCTTGCACAGAGTATTGGCATTAATATTCGGACCTGTGTGATATCAAGTACTCAAAGTATGGGCTGGACCTACAAACGTGCATAAATGTAACAGCAAATGTGTACATTTGAAACGTAACCATATGTCGACTAAGATTACTTTCGGGTTCGCGTAATTGCAGACGAGTGTACAAAAATAGATGTCCTTGACAAATAACACTTGTCTATCAAGGCGCTCATTTGGGCCTTTACACTAAAGCAACAGCCAAACCACACGAATTGTTGTTGTAGTCAAGCACAGTTGATACACGTTTGTGTCAATTGTATAAGTTTTTCAAGGTTGTTACTCAATAAGTGATACAATTCTGGTAGTTGTAGTACAATGACGTCATCATGAACGGGTCGATGAGCTGTTATTTGTTACAACATGTACCTTATTAAAGATGACCTGTTTTTGAGAGTTTCACGATGGGGCACACCACGATAGCCTATATTCCCCAGCTGCTCTAGTACATCTTCTTCCATCAGTAAATCTTGCAATGCCTTATCTGAATTCACCTGTTGAAGCTATTCATAAATAGATATTAGAGTATTTAACCAGATAATGCTATATAACTATATAATCTACTTGTGACATGTACTATATCACACAGACATAGTATATGTGAATATACATAATATGTATGAGTTTTCTACTTTCCCATTCCCAAGTGGACTGGTGACTTGTTTTGTTATGCATTTGGGATATTTCTCACAATGCACTGCACTTGTTGACTAAAGTTATTTACAATATCCTACCCTGTTAATTAGCTCCTTGGATTGCTGGGCTACCACTTTCTCTTGATCGACTGTCACACCCTCGATCCCAGCTGATATGTAGTCATACACCCATGGAGCCATGAAATCTGGTGCTGGCCCACCTTGGACAATTGAAGCAGCCATCAACTCCCCAGCCACACGGAAATGCCCATTTGAAACAGCAATTATATTCTCATGTGGTGATTTACCACATCCATCTGTTTCATTAATAAACAAAAGCAATTCAATCTCACCCAATATATCTGAGAGAAAAATAATTGTTGTATTATATTACTGTAATTATTATATTAATTATATTCTAGTAATAATTCTATTTTCTAGTATTATTCTATTTTCTAGTATCAGTAAATATGAGTCAAGCAATAACCTAAAATTTTTTGAGTTCTATATTTAGGGAGTGGTCATTATTTATGGGGAGGGGGGTTGGGAAATGGGAAGGGGGGGGGAAACGACGTTTTACCCTTATAAATAGGGGGGGGTCATAAACGTTTTTGAACTTAAAGTGCCCGTAACCCCAAAATTGATTTTTGGCTTATTAAAAGTATACTATGAGTGTAGTAGTTTCGCGAAAAAATTTTTGCTTTTGGTTAAAAAGCAAAAATTTTAGAGCCACTTGAACATGCTTATATTGCGATTTTTCTTGGCACATGGCCGTCGGAATATTTAACTGCTTGAAGTCTGGAACTAGCATTATTTGTGACGTCACGCGAGTTAGTTGTGGTTTCAGCAGGAGCGCGTTTGTATCATATTGTTATGTAGCTAAATTTCAGTCAGGGCGCTTGATTTCTGTATAACGAGACGCTGGAAATATCAACTTTAAAAATCCGTGTTGTACAAATATATCACTAAAGAAGAGCGTGCTTGCTTGTTCGAAAATATTGATCCTTGACGTTTACAGTTTGCCTGGCAGTTTGCTAATAACAATAACAAGTATTGTATTAAATTGCAACGGAACTATAAAATTGGCCTGGTACTGATCATGTCTGTATAGTAGCGCGTTTGTTTTGTGAAAATCTTGATTTTCCAAGCTTACCATTTGTGCTAATAGTCGTTGCATGATATATTTATGTTCTGTTATGTAAATTTATGTTCTAAAACGCATTCGCTATATTATTTGCATTGGAATCGTAAATTTTGTGTCACTATACTGCCATTTGATATGTGCTTGAGATCTGCGGGTACAAAGTATTCGTTGCTCACTCTAACTCTAAGAAATATATGCGCACTTCACAAGAACACTTTCCTGTTAAAACACAATACTTTGATCGTGAAATGACTAAAATACTACCGGTTTACATCTAGTGATCTGAACTTTGTGGTGACCGAATAGCGCACCAAATTGTAAGTTAGCCGAGTAAATTGTCTTGACATATGATCGGTATGTGGCAATAAAATATTGCCGCAGAGACAACTTAAAAGCATAACACAACATAGTTTATCCTTGGTGGATCGATCAGCGTAGTATAAAAACCGTGGCAAAGTTTCATAAACCTGTGAAAATGCTCACCAAAAATGATCGTAAAATATAGAGAAGCTGCAGTTTACTATGAGTTTTACGGTATCCAGTCAAAACGTCCCCAGTGTGGAAACTTTATTTAGTATATTTATTAGTTTCGTTTTGCCATTGGTCAGTTTGATCACATGATCATATTACGTGGTCAGACCAAATGGACAATTTATTCATTATTGATTAAGGGTTTGATCAGCACGGTGTTTATGTAAATTATGCCAATAAAAACTATATAAAAAGTTGGACTAGTCTTGCTTTTTAAATGGAGCCCGATAGGGGACGGTATTAAAGAATAACTGGACGGAGTTCGAGCGCTGAGCGTTATTGTGTTGGCAGCGAACATTGGTTTAAATGTGTCTTTTGTGCGTCGGCGGTGGTGATTCACTGATTCTTTGTTTGTAAAAGTGAGGTAAAATTTTCGTCCTTTCTTTATTGTTAGGCTTTTACAAATCTTATAACGGTTTCTTTGTAGTTCGGAGTCTTTTCTGTTTCTTAGTGAAACGAATAATATTGTTTTATTTGGTTGTAAATTGCGTATTTGTATTCGGAATCATGACTAGTACTGACATAAGCCGAGCCAAAGGTAGATACGCGGGTCTTAAAACGTATTTAAAATCGGTTTTGAGTGATTTAAATGATTATGTTTCCTCCGAGAGTTATTGCGAGAAAGACAAGCTTTTGGGATTGAAAAATAGTGTTGTCGCCATTGTTGGACAATTAGGCATTGTTCACAATGAAATTCTTAATTTGATTGAGCCTAAGGAAATTGAACCGGAAGTTGTAGACCATATGAAAAGCCTACAGCCTGTTCATAGGATTCTAGCAACAGTAGATTTGAAACTGGAAAAACTAACGCAAAGTCAAAGTCCTATGACTATGAGTAATATGAGCAGTTTTACTAATAGTGTAGTTCAAAGCACAAGCCAGTCTGTTCAATGTAGATTGCCTAAGATGCAAATGCCAGAATTTGATGGGGATCCACTAACATGGCAAGGGTTCTGGGATCGATATCAAGTTTCAATCCATAGTAATGCTAACATTAGCGAAATAGATAAATTCAATTATCTTAAAGGATGTCTAAGGGGAGAAGCTCTAGCTGCAATATCCGGTTTGATGTTAAGTTCAGATAATTACAAAGAGGCTATTCAGCTATTAAAGAATAGATTTGGAAATGAACAGCTATTAATATCTAGCCATATGGAGTCATTACTTAAAATTAGTAAGATTAGATCTCGGGAAAGTACTAGAGAGCTTAGAATGTTATACAATCATGTTGAAAATTGCATTAGGAATTTGAAATCCTTAAAATTGGACACTACTGGGTATGGTTCCCTATTAATCCCTATTCTAAAGGACAGGTTACCAGATGAAGTTACCATGATAATCTCTAGGAAGTTTGGGAAAAATATTTGGACTTTAGATGGGGTAATGGAATATTTTAACGATGAACTAAGTGCACAAGAAAATTGTTCTTCACCACCTAATGAGCCTGATAAGCATAGGAAAGCAGGATACTATACCACAAGCGGCTTATTTAGTCAAGCAAGTAAAGGTTCATGTGCATATTGTAATAAGGAAGGGCATTTCCACTCTAAATGCACTATTGTCTCTAGTCCAGAGTCACGTAAGGTTATTCTTCGTAGAAATAACAGGTGTTTTATTTGTCTTGACAAGGGTCACATAGCTGGAAATTGTACATCTTCCTATGTTTGCCGGAGATGTAAGGGTGGTAAACACCATATCTCTATTTGCACTTTTGCTTCACATAGACCTCCCGCAGATGCCCAAGATAATACTGATAAGGAAAATAAAAGAGAGGACTTTGTAGGCCACACTGGTTGTGATAAGAATGGGATATTATTGCAAACAGCCAGAGTAGATATACGCCCCATGGACGAGTCTGAGCAAGTTAGTACTAGAATACTATTCGACAGTGGTAGTCAGCGGACATATATATCGGAAAAGGTTCGAAATAGACTTAGGTTGAAGGCATTAAGATCAGAGAAAGTGATAATTAAGACTTTTGGTCAGAGTGAGGCAAGTGAGGTTCAAAGATTGGATGTAGTTCAATTGAAGATTAAGAGTAAATGTGATAATGTGTTTATGTGTATTGAAGCATTATGTGTTCCCACTATATGTAGCCCACTAACAAATCAAAATCTGTCTAGTGTACAAGGATTGTCTGAGTTCAGAGGGTTGCAATTTGCAGACTTTGAACATCAAGATTCCACAAATTTACCAGTAGGCATCTTAATTGGTATTGATTACTATCATATATTCATGACTGGTGAAGTAATTAGAAGTAAGGACGGTCCTGTAGCTAGTAGTACGAAAGTAGGCTGGGTAATGAGTGGTCGTTTAGGTTCAGCTTCGTCTGATATACACTGTTTAGAGACATATTTGCTACGAACTACAGTGGAACATGTAGATGAGGGTAATGATTTACGACAAGAGTTACAAAAATTTTGGGATGTTGAGAATGTAGGACCTTCCACGGATTGCGTTACTAGTAAATTTGAAGAAAATATAATGCACAACGGTACTCGTTAGATAGTTAAGTTACCCTTTAAGCCTGATCATGAATTGCTTCCTGATAACTATAACGTGTGTGAAGGGCGACTGAAATCCTTAACAAATCGCTTGGCATCAAAGGGTATCTACAATGATTATAATTCAATTTTTAAAAATTATGAAGAGGAAGGTATAATCGAGCGGGTCCCAGTAGAAGAAATTGCCAAGGGAGCAGGTGCAACTCACTATCTTCCTCATAGACCTGTTGTTTGTGAGGATAAGCAAACAACAAAAATAAGAGCTGTGTTTGACGCTTCTTGCAAGGTCAATGGACCTTCCCTGAATGAGTGCCTGTATGCCGGTCCTAACCTCATTGCAAAGATATTTGATATACTTGTTAGGTTTAGATGCAATAAAATAGGGTTGCTTGCAGATATAAAGCAAGCATTTCTGAATGTTGAAATAGATAAGGAACACAGGGATTATCTTCGATTTTTATGGTATGATTCAAATTCGGAGCAAAGCCAGACAGTAGTTTATAGATTTCTGAGGGTTGTATTTGGGGTTACTAGCAGCCCGTTTTTGTTAAATGGTACTATTAGACATCATCTTAATAAGTATGTAGAAAGAGAGAAAGCAATTGTAGATCAGTTGAGAGATGACTTTTATGTAGATGATTTGGTTAGTGGTTGTCAGGTAGTGAGTGAAGGTAAAGAAATTTATGATAAGAGTAAGTCTATTATGCAAGATGCCGGTTTCGATCTAAGGAAATGGGTTACGAATGATCCAGAATTGATGAATTACATTTCGTCTAAGGAGGTAGATAAGGAAAGTGTGCCAGTACAGGCAGATGATATGACATACTTTGAGGTTACGTCCACTAATATAGATACTAACACTAAAACAGTTTTGGGCTTGTCATGGGACACAACTTCTGATGAGTTTGTTTTTCGTTTTGACAACTTGTTGAGTAAATGTTGTAGCATGACACTAACTAAAAGAAATATTTTAAGTGTGTCGGCTTCTATTTTTGATCCTCTAGGCATGCTTGCTCCGGTCACTGCAAAGCTTAAATCATTGTTTCAACTCCTTTGTAAGGACAAGTTGGATTGGGATGACATAATCCCAAAGGAACTTGAAGAAATTTGGGAAAAAATCATAGGTGATTTAAAGTTACTTAAGGAAGTTAGGTGCGGTCGGTTTGTTCGTATTAGTAATTTTCATGCCGGTGTTCATGTTGAGCTGCATGGTTTTAGTGACAGCTCCAAGGAAGTTTATTCTGCGGTTGTTTATCTTCGGCTCATTTATGCCGGTGCTGTTAAAGTCAGTTTCTTAGCTTCTAAAACTAAGGTCGCTCCTTTAAAAGCCTTAACTATACCAAAATTGGAACTCTTAGGTTGTTTGTTGCTTAGTAAGTTGGTTAGCCAAATAGTCACAAGTATAGGAAGTCGAGTTGGTATTAATGCTATTATTTGTTGGTCTGATTCGGAGGTTGCTTTAGCCTGGATTAGGGGTAAGGAGAAATCTTGGAAACCATGGGTTGAGAATAGAGTGGTTGAAATACGGAAGGTGGTTGATAGGGCTGGTTGGAGATATGTAAAGAGTGGGCTAAATCCTGCGGATGTGCCTACTAGGATTTCTTCCAATATTTGTGAGTCTTTTACTGGTTGTTGGTTTGAGGGACCATCGTTTCTTTTGTCACTAAAGGATTATGCTGAGGTAGAAGATGAGAATAGTGGTGGGGGTGAGATTTCCCAGGCGGGAATGGCTGAAGTGGCAAACTTCAGTAATCAGACGCACAAGGGCCAAGATAACCAAAAATGTTCATTAAGTTCTGTCATTAACAGTGATCGCTTCAGTTCGCTAAAAAAGCTTATTCTGGTAACGGGTTACGTATTACGATTCGTGAACAATTTACGAAAGAGAGTGAAAACGTGCATAAAGAAAACTTTAGGAAAAGCATTTGTAACTTTCGAGGAATTACAGACTGTGCTCTGTGAGATTGAAATGGCTATTAACAACCGCCCTCTAGCATACGTTAGTGACGACGATTTGGACGACGCATTAACGCCGCATGATCTAATACACGGTCGTAACGCATTTAAACAAGCGAAAGCAATTGATTTCGTTCCGACTATGGACCTGGAGAAATGTAAACGTAGATTGCTTCACGTGCGAAAGGTATTGAGAGACTGTTGGGCAAGATTCCGTTGTAGCTATCTGAATGAATTGAGGCAAATGAATATATATCGGAAGACAAAAGGTGAAAATACACGGCGTATTAGCGTGGGGGATGTCGTTCTAATCAAGGATGACAAACTTTCGGTGCGCACTCAGTGGAGAATGGGGAAAGTGTTGGAGTTAGTGAAAGGTCGCGACGGTCAGATAAGGGGAGCCAAGCTCAAGGTACTCTCCAAGAAGGGAAAACAAACGGCAGTGTTTCGTCCGCTTCAAAGATTGATTCCTTTTGAAATCAACGAGAATCACGACTGCATGAGTGAACAGCAACAGAAGGAATCTAACGATAGTGTTGATAAAGACGAAAATGTGAATGAACCTGCTGCGACAGTGAACGAGGAAACCAGTGCGAAAAGGCCAACGCGAAAGGCAGCAGTAGAAGGACAAAACTTGCGACGCCTTCGAGAACAATATAATTAATTAAGCACTTCCAAACATTCACCAGATTTACTTTTTGGTGGGGGAGAGTGTGGAAACTTCATTTAGTATATTTATTAGTTTCATTTTGCCATTGGTCAGTTTGATCACATGATCATATTACGTGGTCAGACCACATGGACAATTTATTCATTATTGATTAAGGGTTTGATCAGCACGGTGTTTATGTAAATTATGCCAATAAAAACTATATAAAAAGTTGGACTAGTCTTGCTTTTTAAACCCAGGTTAAAACGTCCCCGACTCTGCGCAGTCAAAACGTCCCCAGGCCAAAAACCCCTAACTCTTGTGTTCAAATAAATTGAACTGCAACTAAATTATAAAACATAAACATGTTCACAGACATAGGAGTATGTGACTCTGAATTAATTGCTTCACTTGGCAATGAACTTATTCGCAAATAATTGTAATAGTGCCAAGATTTCAGAATGTTTTAGTGTTAGTAAATGTAAGCGAACTGTCATGACGCATACATGCGCTCACCAAATTACCAATATATGAAATTTTGCAAGGAAATTTAGCCACTAAACAACATATTCACCCTGGTTGAATATATCAAACCGTGGTTGATTCAGTTCCTGGATCAGATCAGAAGAAAGCCAAAAATATTATATGTGAAAATAGTTTAAAATTACTCTAAAACTGAAAGAATATCTGACATTTAGCCAACAGATTTGACCTTTACTTGGGATATTTTGACATGAGTTGGGGACGTTTTGACCTGGGGACGTTTTGACCTGGGGACGTTTTGACTTGAGTTGGGGACGTTTTAACCTGGGGACGTTTTGACCTGGGGACGTTGTGACTGGAAAGCGAGTTTTACGTGTGTGACAACAATTGAAAGTGTATCAAAGATCATGTAACCCGGCCTATTTTGAACATAACATACTGTAAATTGTAATATTCCTGAAATACGACGATAATAACTTCGAAAGATTTACCATATCACCATGATGATTTTCAGTTCAAAGTTTTAATGGTAAGAGATGTGTATTTACTTATTTAGTGGTGATATTCAGTAACTCGCGTGACGTCAGAAATTGTGCTAGACCCAGACTCCCGTACACGACGTCTGTAACGCCCTCTCAGTCGTTTATCTTGGGTTGCTATGCATGTTAGTCGCCCGCTTTTAGGAACTTGGATTCGCCAAGTGGCATGCTTACAGTCGGCACACAAGTCGTAAGTACTGCTATATTTTGCTGTATATTTTGAATCTTCCTTTTGTAATTTTAGCTTATTTTGTTTATATTGTAGTTTGACGGTTCGTAGAAGATAAATATATTACACTTTTAAAGTCCTGTCGTCACAGTTGTTGTGTATCTATAACTATAAGATAGCTTGATCGGTTATCGGCCATAAATCCATACGAGCCGTAAGACCTGTGTCGTATTTACACTACCAAGACGGTAGATACAACGTCCATTGACCAAGCAATCCATAATTCAAGTGGCTCTGAAATGTTTGCTTTTCAACCAAACGCAAAAATTTTTTCGCAATACTGTTCCACTGGTAGCATACTTTTAACAAGCTGAAAATCAATTTTGGGGTTACGGGCACTTTTAAATACCATGTCTAGAGTTCTGATTTCTATAATCACAAATAGCAAAAAAGAAGACTCTGAAAATGCTATTTCCAACAATCTAGACACTCAAAATTTTCAAAATTTCCCTGCTCGGCCGGCGCCAACCATGGTAGCGCCTAGCGATCGTGGGAGTCGGGCCCACTAAGTTTAACAAGCTTTCTACCCCCCTGAGTGACCCAGTTGTGGTATTTACATAAACATACCATGCAAGTACACTGAACTGATCAGATTCAGTCTATCAACGCACAATGTAACGCTGTATATCCAAAAATCTGTTTCAGAAAATGCTCACATTTCCGTTCTAGGGGTGGAAAAATACAAAAAAATTTACCCCCAGACCCCCCTACTCGTACATACGATACCACACCAAACTTTTTGTCACCAACAACCATCTGTCATCTCTCCACACTCAATATAGTATGGTCCCTTTTTGTAGATGCTCCCCCCTAGACAAGTTTTTAAAAAAAACCTGTGTTCAAATCATTTCGCTGTATGAAGATGGATCATGGGTTAGGGTTATGGTAGGATTAGGACAGATTGTCCTAATATCTAACTTTACCTGCAACGCACACCTGTTTCATTGCTGTTAATTTTTCAATCCACACTGGGGGGGGGGTCAGAAAAGTTTCTACTTTTATGAGGGGGGAGGCACAAAAAGTTTGCCTTCAGTCTGGAGGGGGGGTCAAAAAAGTTTTCAATCCTTATTTTCCCCATTTCCCAACCCCCCC